TGTTGTTGCTGCTGGTGTTGTTGTTGCTGGTGTTGGCGTTGTTGGTATTGTTGGTGTTGTTGTTTGTGTTGGTGTTGTTGTTGTTGTTGGTGGTGGTGGTGGTGGCGGTGGTGGTGGCAGTGGAGGTGGTGTTGTTGTTGTTGTTGGTGGTGGTGGCAGTGGTGGTGGTGATGGTGGTGCTGGTGGTACTGTGGCGGTGGAGGTGGCGGAGGTGTTGTTGGCGCTGTTGGTGTTGTCGGTGTTGCTGTTGTTGTTGTTGTTGCTGCTATCCTCGTCGAAACCCATGATTATGGTCATAATGCCGCGTTGATTGCATGCGACGGGCTATTCTCATTGCCACTGCAGTAAGCTCCCAGGATGATGTGGCCAATTCGCTCGAGGCGTCCAAAGATGATGGTGGTGGCAATGCTGCCGTGGAAGCTGCAAAGGCGTAAAACATAATTCCATATTGCGGCTTGAACCTCATAATGTCGACTTGGTTCGACGTGCCTCTTCTTCTCGAAGTCAGGAGGAGGAAGACACGGGAGATCCCCCAGACGTTGACGACGAGTTGCCTGGGCCTTTTTACACACGAGCCTGGTTTTTGGGCTTGGTGCTCGCGGCCTTCGTGGGGGTGACCTCCTACACTGCCTTTCAGCTGCAAGTGCAGAATGCATGGCATCGCGTCATCACATGCTGCCCGAAAATCCCTACCTCATCGATGTTCATGGCACACTTCTCGAAAATCACAGCCCGTTGCCTCGATGAGCAACAGCTAGCACAGAGCAGGGCCTGGCAAGGGAGGGACGGCCAAGAGAAAGAAGCGGATCAGTTCAGTTCCGAAAAACCGACCGATGCGAGGTCTTACAGGTCAGGGCTGCCTCGGACTCGAAAGGCTCGGACGAGGACGAACTTGAGCGAACGTACGCTTATCCCTCAGAGTGGACTTGGGGCTATCAATGTTGGATTTCCGATCAAGCTCTCGTACATAAGGCACACGACCCCAGGGCACCAGTTCCTGCGGATGGCAAGGGCGGAAAGAGCAAAGGGAAGGGGAAGGGTGCCCAGGCAAGTGAGTTCGTCTGCTTAGGAGGCTTGTATCTTTCGTAAGTAGCATGGTTGAGGTTCGAGTGATTTCGAATTCCAGACTAGCACCGTCAATGCTGCGCAGAAGGTGCAGCGAGAGGTTTCGGTGGTATACTTTGGGTCGTCGTGTATGCATCCCTCCTGTCGCTTAGACCTCCGCTTGGATAAAGCCGATAGGTTCGCGATGCATGTTTTGCAGTGAAGCATTCAGAAACTTCTGCGAGAATTGTGCAGGCAGCTGCTGCGTGAGTTGGAATGGACTGACCTCTGACGTATTGCAGGTTGGGTGACAGCCGGCCTCCTGCCCTGATTCCAGAGGTCGGATGCCGAAGCCATGCGTGTTTGAAGGCATCGAGTCACGATCCTCCGATCGGGCACAGAGCCGGCGCGAAAGAATCTGCTCCAAAGTGAGCATCGTTTCATCTCACCGTTTTCTGGCTGTCGGTTTGCGCACAAACGGCCGATTAACATCTCTGACCAAATCTGCGGAAAAGAGGCACATTTGACCAATTCTGTTGCAAGAGTAGAGCTACGAGGGTTCATGGCCCGAACAGCCCTGCAACATAGGCTTTCACGTTGCTTGGATGAAAGCACGGACAGGTTTCAAGTGCAGATTGCACAGCAGATACAGCAGCTGGCGGTGCAGCAACAACAGCAGCAGGCGCGGTCCATGTTCTCGTGCCGTGCAGGACTCACCAGGCAGACTGTTGCGAATTCGAATTCGGATTGCTACGTCGTCGCAGGCCATGCATCAGTGGCTGCTGCAGCAGGCTGCCTGTGTAGAAGCTTTGCTGAACAAATCCAGCCCGGATCTCTATGCAGGTTTTGGCGCAGCAGCAGGAGCAGAAAGTTGGGGGCCTGACACCGGCAGCTCCAAACAGCTCCCACAGCTCCCTCACCACACTTCCAAAGGCCTTGCTTCAGCAACGCGCTGCGACAGCGTGTTCTGAAGGCCCAGGGGTGGAGCACGAAAGCTAGGATCAAGGAGCATGGACGCAGCTCCACCAGACCCGCATAAACTTCTGGTGTATGTGTTTGGAGTTCAGCTGTGTTTGCTGATGTTTGCGGTGCGGTTGCTCACGGCTTTCGATGGTTTTCGGCAATACAAAAGGCTGAAGAACCTAAGAGCCCGCTCAAAGCACCCTTGTCGAGCTTCCAGAAAATAAAATGTGTCCTGTACGTGTACGATACAAGCCCAACTGATTCCTGATGAGCATCCACTGGCGTGCTATTACCTTGGTGCCGAAAGGCCTCTGAAATCGACAGTGTCCCATGATGGCCTTGTTGTCCAGCGGGGGTCTTGCGCGGGCCCAGCCAGGCGACGGCACACCAGCTGCCAAAGGGCATCTCGGCTGAAATGGATTTGCTGATTTTGCTGGCTCGTGCCCTTGCCTATTGTGTCAGTGCTTCGATCTGCATCCGTGCCCCGTGGCACAGAATGCTGCCACTCTTCTTTGCCAGGGGCTCTCGCAGCACTCCTGGCGCACCCTGTGCGCAGTGGCCGCAGGCCGCGTGCCAGTGCAAAACAACTAAACACAACAATTGTTCGGAGGTGCTGAAGTGACAGTGAAATTTTCAACTTCAGTGTTCAGTGGCTTCCGCTAGGTGCAAATACCACCACCCAGCGGTCGGCATCCTGCAGTGCAGCAGCAAAGCAACTTGCTGCAGTTGCCTCCTCTGCTCCCCGGCGAGCAGAGTCCAGTTTCAGTCGCCAAGGGTTGAGAAGCTCTTCGCTCCCGTACGTGTCCTGTAAGGCTGCACAGCCTGCCGGCCCGGACGCAGCCTTCCACATGCAACCGATTGCCGGGAGCCCATGGCATCTCTCGGTTTCCCTCTGTCTCCGTTGTCTTTCAGTTACGTTTTCTCAGTCCGTCTTCTCCATTACAGCATTCATAAGGAGCTTGTCCTTTGATCCTGCAAGATCGCTGCTGAAAGGCCGCAGCCTCCGGTGAGTCAGAAGACTCAGGCACCGGGAGCACTGCCTCGATAACCGGTGCGAGAACAGATCACTGTGTACCCGTTTGCTCATGCACTTGTTCGGAAGTCTGAGTTGTGACAGTTCGAAGGAGCACAGCTACATTACGGGGCTACGGATGCGGTTGGGGTTGTTAAGCCAGCGCAAACCACACCCAAATTTAACAATCAGGAGAAGGGCCGACCGCTGATGGAGCCACCAAGTGAAGAAGCTGAGTACGAGGCCACCGGTGGCAATTGTTCGCGTTTCAGCATCTCGGAGAAGAGAGATGGGAGGCGACTTCAGAAGAAAAGCAAGAGGAAGCAGAAAGGCGCGACTGCCTGTCCGAAGAAAGCCGCAGCACCGAGCGCATAGCCAGTGCTGTCTTGGGAAGGTCGCTGACTCTGACTGCTCCAGGTCTGAGACGACGGTGGCGCCCGAAGCATCACCCGAGGTGCAGGCGCGTCCTAGAGCACACGAGAGCGCTGCGCTTGGCCTACGGGCCCGGCCCGTTGCTTTGGCCACTCGTCTGGTCTTAGACGTGAGGCTGAAGCCAGTGACGCTTCGCCAGAAGCCAAGGGGGACCCTGAGGACAAGGCGGCGGGACCCAGATGACATGAGGTTTGAGGTTTGTTCAAGCAATGCCAGGAGTCCAGGGAGCTGGACCAGACGGAGCATGAGAGCAGCACAAAGCATGCTGAAGAGAAGGACTCCTTTGTGGAGGTGGATGCTTTCTAAGCGCTTTGGGATACTGTTCGTTGTTGGGTCGTCAGCCTGCCCTTGGTGACAGGTGGAGGTGACAGAGAATCCGGTAAAGGAAGAGCTTCACAAGGAGCCCGAGATTCTCGAAGCGACGAGACCTGCCCAGAACGGCAGGGCACGAAGGCGGCAAGAGCGGCCTGCCCGCACGGCCCGCACTGCGCGTGCGGAGACCGACACGTGGCGGCCAGTCCGCAGAGGCAAAGCCGGACCGAGACACAGCGAGCCCATCCAGGAGGAGCCGGCTCAGGAGCCATGGACCACTTCGTCCACTTCTCCGTTTGAAACGGGCCTTTCGCAAGAGCGAGCGCCACAGAGTTGGAAGCTCCGCGGCAAAATGAGCATGAGGACTAGTGGTGCCACCCCAAGCGGAAGTAGTGGCAAGGGCGCCAAGAGCGCAGGGCCTACAGGGCATACAGCCTGGAAGTGGAGGCCCACGGTGCCACACTCGGACAGATGAGGGGTGTAGAGTGTCCGGCTGTTGTATTCTTCGTTTTCCCAGCTGAGCCGAGCACTGCTTGGGCTTGAAAGCTGGCAATGTGTACAATATGACTGCAAGGGACCACGTTTCAGTTCCTTCGAAGCATCTTGATGGTGCCATGTAAATGCGATGAAAGGAGCAGCCTCGAAGCTGTGGTGCAATAAGGTCAAGGAGGGCTTCCTAAAGATTGGCCTAGTGTAGATGCCATGCCATTGCGGCTTCCAGGCTCTTTCCCAGCTCCTGGGAGACTTACCGAGTCGAAAGCGATCGGACAGTGCCATCTTCACCCCGTCATGTCTCGGCGAGATTATACATGTCCTATTGTGCTTGCCAAGAGAGGCTCAGCCCTGCCAGCTTGAAGAGCGAGGACAAATGCTACCTGTAGCATTCCGAAGGCTCTGGAGCAGGCAACTGGACAGCCAGGGCAAGGGTCAGCGAGCGAGAAGAGAGCGGCACAGGAAAGTCTTGAGCTTTCCTACCTTGCGATGCATAGCGCGCAGATGCCAGCAGGCGGCCACGTCACCACATCGTCCTAGGCAGTACCGCTTGAACATGGGCTCGTAGCAGCCTGTTCTACGCTCAGTAGGCTCACGTGCAGAGATACAGTGGACACTGTACACGACATCAACTCGCAGGTATAGTGCTCGCCCTTTGTGGTGAAAGTTCATGAACTGCGGTTGCGATGGCATGAACAAACGAAAGCAGCGGTGTTGGTTTGGTCAGTCGACATGGCCGCCTGACATGGCCGTGTAGCGAAGGCGACGGAGTCTGCAGCTGGTGTGGACGACGGGGCGAGCTAAATGGAATTTCGCGCATGTGTTCCAGCTCAGGCAAGGCTATGCGAATTTTCGCCGTGCACGGCAGTGCCGCGTGCTTTGTGACATGCGGGCTTGCAAGAGACGTTTGTTCTAAGATTTGTCGAAGTTGAGGCCTCCGCAGTTCGAACTCTGCAGGCGAGGGCGTTGACCAGGCCGAGCTGCATGACACGCCTTAGGACGCATGCCGGCCTCCAGCTTCACTGCTGGCATAGCCATGCAGTCTTCACCGAGTCTTTACCCATCCACTGCAGTATAGGTGCAGCCGGGACTGCTTCCCGTCACGAGGAGGCGGGGTTGCTGCACGTGTCTGCGGCACAGAGTGCCGCCCGCGAAGCACGACCAGGACTCAGGCACCTTCGAAGCGCGAGGTCCGGAAGGTGCCTGTGCTAGAGGGTGTTTCGATGCTAGGGGTCGGTGCATATATCGACAGAAAACTCCAGTCCTCAAACTTGGGCTCGAGAGCAGTGCTTTCCACCATGTCGGTGTTGCTCCCTCGACGAAGCTGGGTTTGCGTTTTTTGGCGGCTGTCTCTTGCCGTTTCTGGTGCTCTGTGCGCACTCGGCCTCCTCGGCTGCGATGCTGGCTGCAGGCACGCGGCTCCTCGGTGGCAGAGTATCTGGAAGCTCTGCTTGCAAGAGCCTACCGCAACCGGGACAGCCCGAGGATGCTACCAACTGCGTCCTGGGCAATGCTGCCGACTGCGCGGATCTCGCCAAGTTTGGAGGACACCTAGCGAAATATCTGCCCAGGGAGAGCCAGCCCCTATGACGTTTTCTTTCTTGCACAGCAGCCCGACAATGACAGGCTGTATCAAGGAGGCAAACTGCTGTGAGTCTTCCGATGCATCTTCCGAAATATCCAGTATGACCAGTTGGAGGACCTTGCAGTGCTGTAGTGACTTTGTGGAAAAAACTGGATGTGGATCTTTTCCAGGGATTTCCCGGGATTGTCTCCGGTCACAGACATTTCTGTCGTCTTACTTGACTCAAATGCAAAGAGAGGAACTGTTGACGCAGGAAACGCTTGAACGAGCTCTATGCGGCAGCAGACCTGGCTGGGTTGTCTTGTGAGCCAAGCCCCTGTGTGAGCTAGGCCACAGGCCAGGGAACTTCTCTCAAGCTCTTGGACAGAGCTCCACCCGCTCCTGCTCGCTTTCTGAGCGATGTGAGACGGCGAATGCTGCACATAATGCCCAGTCTTCAACGTGAGGGAGAGCAGCATGGGACGACCACGGCATCCAGCGCATCAGCGCGGATCGCGTGACAACGGGTCGAACAGCCACAGCTGCAAGTCAGAAGGGTTAAAAAGGGCCCTGCATGACCAATCCGATTCACATTTAATTGTTTTCGCAACGTGCAAAGTCGCGTATATGCTGCAGAGCAGATCTTGGAGGATGTCCAAAAATGCGACTCTTAGTTTTTTGTAGCCTGGGCATGTCGTGCATAAAGCTGCGCGAAGTGCTTCAGGTCTGGGACTGCCGACCCTGCGGAGGCCGTGAAGAACTCTGGCCGCTCTGGCCTTGGACGCTTGTCCGCCCCTCGCTCCGATGGACTTGGCGCAGAGCAGCCCTCAGCGCCCCACCTGCCCGAAGAACGGGCGGCCGAAGATGCGGACTTTGTGGATGAGGGGCCTGGCGAGGCCCTCGCCGTGGATGCACTGGCGCCAGCAGCAGCCATGCTCCACAAGAATGCTCTAGTGGAAGGCTTTGACGAGCCTCTGCCACTGGAGGCACTGGACCCGCAGGACCAGAAGCCTTCCCAAGAACCCGCCCCCTCAATTCCCTTCTCGAATCTTGCAAGCTACAATGTTTACAATTTGCATCAAGTTGCCATGAGCCGCTAGGACTCGCTTGACAAGCTTCCACACGTTGCTGGGGGCCACAGCCGACCCCTGAAGCCGCCTTACGAGCACATCCGTCGCGCTCCGCCAGGGCTCCTGCAACGGCTGGCCGAGGTGGAGAAGTTGGAGGGCAAGTCCAAGGAGAGAACTTTTCGAGTTTTAATCCCCCTTTTTCAAAGAGGATCCTCCTCATGTAGGGCCCTACAGGTAGGGCACCGCCCTTCCCGGCCCAGGGCTCCAAGCGGAGCAAGCGACGAGGGCAGTTCGAGTTCGACGACGATGTGCCCGTCCGAGTTCGGGTGCTGGATGTGGATGCATTGGCTTTGGAAGAGCTACACAAAGCCTTCATGTACACGCTGGTGCGGCGGCGACCTGCAGAAGTTTGTGTGCGAGTGGCCTCGCGGCTTGCTGTCTTCCGGGATAAGCCGGGCCAGCAATCCTATCAGAACCTCCTCCAGGACTGTGGGAGGCTTTTCGGCTCTCTCCATGGGCCGGAGCTTCTGGCTCTCTTCGCCCGATGCATCTGTGCAAGCACTGTGTGTTTCTTTCTTTTGTCGTGGGTCCCCTTCTGCACCTCCGCCCAGCATCCAACTCGATCGTAAAGCGAGGCTTTTCCACCATCTCCGTGCCATTCATGCTCGACTACACAAGGAAGTATGGGCACTTCTCCCGCGGGTTCCTTGCGGAGCAGGTTGAGAAGAGTCTCCGGCCTGGTTTCTTCGATTTCTTGCGGTACGAGGAGAATGGTGGCGTCCGGCCGCTGCCACTGATCGTAGCAAAGCCATGGTCCCTCGGACTCACATTGGCAGACCGAAAGATCTAAGAAGTTACGCCGCTACGCTCACCGTTTTCACAGGAGCCTCGGGTCCTACACACGGCTGATGACCAAGAGCTACCTCAAGAGCCGCATGCACGAGCAGCTGAAGCTTCACGGCCATGTCCCGAATGTCGAGCAAGACACCGACCCAGCCTCTTCGGCTGCACCTGGAGGATAGAGTTCCTGCTTGCTGTTAGGGCAGTCCAGAACTGAGGATATGCCTCCAGAGGCAAGGGTCATCGAGCATCTCGGCCGTGCAGGATCCTTGCGGGTCGAGGCACCCAAAGGGCCGTCACCAGAGGCCGGGCACAGGGCATCAAGAGCTTTTGGACTTTCAGTGTGGATCAGCTGCAGGACCTAACCCTGGTTTTGAACTATTAAGTCTTTCCAACTTCTTCACAAGCGTTCCCATGTTATGAACCGTCAGGGACGCACATGCTAAGCTTGCCAGCCAGGTCCAACGGCCTGCGTTGCTGGAGGCCATTGTCCAGGTGGGATGCTGCAAAAGCTGAACCCGATTGTCACCGCGGGGCCGAATTGGATGTCTATTGCGGCATCATCTTGGCATGTTTCCATCATGTTGCTTGTCCAAACCCGCGGCTTCATAAAGGCTGCAGTGGTCTGGACGAGCCAAATCGTTTGCCGCATGTGCCAATTCACCGACACTGCTCAAGCGAATCTGAAGCGACCGTCGCACACACAACTATCTCCCCGGCTTGTCAGCTCGTTCTCCCAATGGCCAGGCATGAGACGACAAAGCAAGAAGGTGTGCCCTGGACCTTCCTTTGCTTGAAGTTGCCATGGACGCCGAGCGGCCGAGCCAAGGATGAGCCATTCCGAGGCAGCAGTTGCTCGATCCATCAATTTGAATCCGCTTCAGCCTTTAGGTGGCGGTGCTCCTGCCGCCTGCCTTGCCAGGCGAAGCGCTGGGTCATCGTCCAGCCCCAGTGGGGCCTTAGCAACCGCCTACGGGCTGTGGCCTCCGGGCCAGCCTGAGCCTGTCTCGAATTCGATCTCATCGCATTCCAGTCGCCAGATGTCGCCAGGCGCATGCTCGCCGAACATCTCTCTCGAAGTTTCCTTGTGGACTGGCAGCCGCTGCCCGGCTGCAACTGTGCATGGGATCGCGGCGACCTCAGCTCGGGGCGGATTTCTAGTTCGAAGCTGCGGCGGAAGCTGCGAAGCTAAAGGTCTCTTCTCCTCGGAGACAAAGACTCTAAGCGAAGAGCTTGAGGAGGCACCCGCGCGAGCGATGTGAGATGCTCGGAGACCTGGTGCCATGAGGATCCAGATCCTTCTGTGCTGGCTGCTGCCGAACTGCTGCAGGCGTGGGACGAGGCTGGTTTGCGTGCAGCTTTTCATCTTGTTTGAGTCGCTCGTCACAGCAAGCGAGGTCGTAGCCCTGGTCTTGCCGGCCTTGCCTTCCTGCACCATCCGTCTTGCTCATGCTGAGCTGCTTATGTGCCAGGCCCGTTGCAAACCTGACAGCCAAGAACTCAGGCGCAACCTCAGCAGTGCCCTGCTGCCCTTTGTCTGCGCGAGAGTCCTCGCTCCTTTCGGCAAGGGGAGCGATCCGGAGCTTTGAGGCCTTCCACAAAGAATGCTACCGAGCAGGAGGGACTCTCGGCTGGCTTTGGGCCTATCACTTGCGTGCTCAGCCAGGGCTAGCCTACCTCCTTGATGCTGCTTCCGAGAAATGGAGGTCGTGCGAGACTCAGCTGCGCCGACTTGTGATCTGCACGATTTCAGTGCTGACGAACGTCTCAGCAGTTCATAGTCGATGAAACGAATTGAGGTGCAGGCCGTTTCACGGGCGCGACAATCTGCACTTTGGCTTGGAGCGTGAAAAAACTGCCTAAAGTTGGATGCTTCTTGCGGGGAGACTCAGGCCGAGCTTCCTCCAAGTAGATGCCCGGCAGTGTTATGGCAATGCATGGCGGCTGCAGTGTTCTCATTTGTGTGCTGTTCTTTCTCAGGATTGCCTTTGCGTCAGAGCCTTCAACCCGTTCTACCCACCCAGGCAGACCCGAATGCACTGGGCGAGAGTTGGCATGCCGTGCTGCGCTTGATGTCATGTTCCAGAACTTGACCCCGACACAGGGAGGAGGATCGACAACAGCTCGCTGCAGAGCGGGCAGCCCACCTGAGAAGCTGGGTTGCACTGGTCCGAAGCTTCGATGTTTCTTTCCCCACTGCCATTGCTCAGATCGCCTGGTGGCCGCTGCCCCTGTGCGCCAAAGGCTCTGGCAGCTGCCCGAAGGCTCAAACCCGAGGACGAATCGCTGCAGCTCTCCCCGAACTCCTTGCAGGCACGATCTCGGTTCACATCCGCCGCACCGACCATGCTAAGGCTTCGGACGTGCTTAAGACACGGCCGGCTGCTGTTAGTTCATGTGCACTTGGCCGGACAAGGTTTTTTGATTACCCTTTGTGAAGGCCATTGCGAGATCGCCCGAGGACACCTGCGCATGCGATGTGCGCGAGAAATCTTCGCTCATGGAAGCATCTTGACAGACTGCGTAGAGAGCATGGTTGAGGCATGGTGAGCGATGCAGCTGTGTCTTGCAGAATTCTGCAGACTGCAGACATGTTTGCTGTTTGCGCTTTCAGGACCTGTTCGTACAAGCCATGGACTCTTATGGAACAGTCACCTGACTTCAGCAGCTAAAGCAGCGACATAGCCAGAGGGTGTCTTTCCTCCTCTCGACAAGGAAGCCAAGTTCTTCTTAGCGACGGACGACGCCGAAGTCGAGTCGCGGTTGCGACGGCGTCCCTCTGGCGCACTTGGTATTTTGAAGACAATCTAGCTTCGAAGAGGCCACAAGCACAGGGTGAGGAGCGAACCAGGCCGTGCCCCGGGGCAGTCTAAACCTGTTGTTTTCCGTTCCGTTGCATCTCATCCTTGGAGAGATTGCACAGCCAGGTTATGGTCAGCGTCTCCTGACACAACCCAAGCGCACGCTCAGCCGCAATGATCCGGATGGAGCTGGACTTAGTGCCTTTGTCCACTGCCCGAGCACAATGTCTTCTGCCATGCAAAATTCGACGATGTTGCTATATCAATGAAATATAATGTAGTGCAGCTCTCGACATAAGGGCCAGGCTTCAAGCTGTCTTGACAGAGCTGCAAGCCCGAAGCCATTCGTCAAGCTTCGAGGTATTGAAGATGCCCTGTTGGACCTGCTCATGCTGTCGCAGGGGAGTGAGGCAGGAGGGGTCCAAATGCAGCGTCGGGTTTGTAGTTTTCCATGCGTTGTTTGTTTCCGGGTACCAGCCCCCGACCTCCCCCGCCCCCCGGCTGCCTCACACGTTGGGATTCTTGTGAGGGTCGGTCGTGCGACTGGTGTGAGTGCGGCTTGCTCGTGTCATCACGGGCTCCAAGGCGTTGCAAAGCAGGTCATGCGGTCTGCGTGCCTTCATGATAACTGATATTGACAGAAGCGCACAAGTAATAATACTCTTGCCTGGCATGCTCAGAATCTTCTGATTCCTGTGCCATGGCAACCCAGGCAAATTAGGCCTTGCAGCTCGATTCCAGAGCTCGGAAAAGTGCAGGTCTTGGGCTCCTACAAATCCTCCTTCTCTGCAATGGCCTCGCACTTCCGGTGCATTCCGTCGCCCCGGCCTGCCGATTCTGCCCCTTCCATGAGACATGGGCATGCCTTTGCCAGGTCACGAGACCTGATTGTGATGCCAGGCTTCATGTTGTGGATGTACGTCCCGAAGCTGCTCCCGACTCGGCCGGAGCCTGATGCGCTCACAGTCGCAGCCCCCAATTAAGTTCTGAGCCGTGCAATCGTAGCAATTTCGTCGAGGCCGCCAGGGTCGGCTTCCGGGAGGTGTCGGTGGTTGCAGCCGACCCGGAGGATGACTGAGACTGCCCGCCTGTCCACTGTCGACAGTTTGTGCCAGGGCAGAAAGCTCGACTTGATAGGGTCACAGGGTAGCCAAACAGTCAGAAAGCCTAGTGTTATGATGAGCACCTACTAAGCGCTGCATCTCGAAAGGCAAAGCCTTAAACTCCGCTTGATTTGGCTATCCTGCATTACCGCCCTTGCCGGGCCAGGTCCGGGTGATCGGCGCGTCGGAAAAGTTCGCGCACTGGGTGTGTAGGCACTGTAGGGCGTGCAAGGCCCAGGGGCAGATCGGCAGCTTAGCGAAGGCTCTTTCTGAGCCTGTGAGGCGGAACACTCTGGCGTTGGTTGGGATGCCTCTCAGACTGACGGGTCGGCGACCAAGGAGAAGCCACGTCCGTTCATGAGAGGAGCTCGACGTGCCATGGCAGAAGCCGAGTTGCACGATTCAGATGGCGAAGGGTATTCAGATTTCTACGATTCCGATGACGAGGAGGCGGTCAGCGACGACGAGGGTGGTATATCTGGAGGAAAGAAGTTTGGATTACAATTCGAGCGAGTGGTGCCCGACTCTGCCTATTCTGCCATTGCAGAGGACGATGCTCTGGTTGATGCTGAAAAGTTGCCGAAGGATTCTGCCACTGCGTCAACAGAGTTGGAAGAGGCATTTGCTGATCGCTGGTGGTCGCAATTTCGACGCCATTTTTTCAGACACAACTATGGGGCGTATCGTTTGTTGGATGGCCGGTGGCAGCGGGTGCCGGATCCCAAAGGCCCCAGGTACAAGCCACGGCAGAGGAAAAGGCCACGCGGCCAAAAGAGAGAAGAAGCACAAAGGCGAGAAATGCGAGCAGCAAAGCCTGCTGGAGTTTGACAGTCGAATTGGGGCTGTTGGAACCTGTTCTGCATCGCTGCTTGTGAGACTTTCGCTTTGCATCGCCTCATGAAGGAAAGACCGTCACCTGCTTAACACGGGATGGGACATGTGGGCTCCATTGCCAGCAGCATTTCTTTACTATGCATATATAGTTTATGCATGGAGTCATTATGACAATGTGATACTCGTACAGCATTTGTTGTACTGGAATGCTGGTGGAGTTCCAGTATAACCCATCAAATCCAGATGCTTGCGGCAGACGCCACAGAATTGAATCAAATGACCATCCTGAATCCTGATGATCCCCATCAGGCTTATTGCAAAGTGTCTGCGTGCTAAGTAGATGCGCGTGAAAGACTGTAGTATGCATGTTGCCAGGTTATGTATGTATGTACGTATGTATGCATGCATGCATGCATGTATGTACGTATCTATGTATGCATGTAAGTAAAATTGGGAGGAAGCTCTTGCATGTCGCTGTCAAGGGCTTCAGTACCTGATCCCTCTTTGCGCAGAGCTCTTATAAGAATCATGAAAAACCAGACCCAGATTTCGTTTTCTTTTTTTCTTGTCCGAGGCGTGTTGTTCGAGCGTGATGCAAAATTATACTGCTGTGGAACGCCTGGCTTGCTGTGACCTTTACATTTAAAAGCACTCCCCTTAGACTAAAACATCTGCCACGGTGCTTAGCCTGCTCGGCATACCGACGCACGAGCTGTCAGGCGCGCACGCAATAAGCTTGCATGCTTACACCAACCCTTGCTGCTCCTGCAAACAGATGAGCTTCTTTCTAGTTAGACCGTTCGTGACGAAGCCCTTCAAGACTGAAGTGCTTAGGGTCATGAGGGAGAAGGCTAGACTGCACCGAGCAGCTGTGAAACGGTTTGGGGTCAAGCACAACGACGGAATGCAGAGATGCATGCGCAACAAACAACCAGAACAGGGTGAGTTTACCGACTACGATTGTAGAGCCATTTCGAGACAGCATCATCAATGTGGCAAATGCCAGTGCCGTGCGAGAATCATCGCAAATGATGTCTGACAATGACTGCCAATCGGAGGAGTTCTTGTGGAGCTTGGGCGTTGGAGCCTCGCTTCCTTCTTGGCTGCAAGACATGCGCCACGAGCAGCGGCGACGGGGTCTGAATCAAGGCCCTCACGTCGACACGCGCAGCAAGGAACGCCTGGGCATTGGGCCTCAAGTTGGGAGCGGTCGTCCTCATGCCGTGGCCAGACGAGCGACTCCTGATGGCGTAAAAAACACAGAAGTGGAGATCAAAGACCAATCGGTTCAGTCCCCGGTGTGCAAGTGGCTGCCACAGGTTGACAGCCGTGTTGCAAGATTTTCGCGTTTTTTTCAGCCCAAGGTAGCCGAAGCCTTGGCGAGCCCAAGACGGTGCGGCTGTCGCGTGTCGCACGAGCAGCGACTGCTGAATGAGATTGCACCCGTGTGTGTTTCTGTTGACAGGGTTTGCATGGCCCTGGAAAGCTGCAGCCTGAAGGCAAGGCCCCCAAGTTTCAAGCACAAGTGCTGTTTTGAACTTGGCAGCGCGAGGACTGGCTAGTCAGTCTAGATGAGGCCGGTTTTCTCGCGCCTTGGCAGTTTCACACCAGAAGATCTTGAGAAAGAACCCCTTGAAAAAAACTAAGGTACAGTACCATGATGGCATAGCGAGCAAGCTGGACAGCGTCGCGCAAATCGTTGAGACGTACGGGAAGGCAAGGCCAGACTGAACGATGCGGTGCTTCGTTTGCTTCGTCCAGAAGCTCTGCCGAAATTTACAGGACTCGGGCGAAGTTGACCCTCAGTTTTTTGACGATGCTGGGATCACCAAATTAGGACTCGTTCCAACTCGCAGCAGTCAGATTCTTTACAGTGGGTCTGACAGCCTCGGCAGGACATCGCCGCCTTTTCCAGAAGTGGTTTCGCGAAAACCGTTTCTCTGGAGGCCTTTGGGTGGCAAGGTACAAAGCGGTTCAGCCAAGCTCGCAAGATGAGATGACATGACATGTGCTGCCCTGGCGTCGCCAGGCATGAGACATCTTTCGGATCAGACCTTAATCGGAGTCCAGCACGCGCAAAAGGCTTTCAATTGTGGGATGCTAAAGAATACGAATACGGTCGATGCCAGGCTCCAGGAACTGCGCGGAAGTTGCTAAGTGTTTTGCTCTTTGAATTGCCTGGGGCCCTGGGGCTCGATCAGCTGGTCATGCTTTTGGGAGCAGGAAATCAGCTCAAGCGGCCCGCACGGGGCTCATCAGGTGAATCTGTTGGTTCAAACAGAGTCCTGTGCAGCTAACAGCTAACACAGACTTCAGCGGTAGCGTCGAAGAGACGTCCCGTAGCTTTGCCACATGTTCTGGGCCATGCTTGAAGATGAGCTTACGAGGTCGAAGCTTTGGGCGGCCCTCTGGGGCTCCCTGCCGTGCAATGACCAGCGGGCACAACTTTTGGAGATATCTGATATGCTGAAGTTGCAAAGTCCACGAAGCACAGAGTTCCCGATTGCCGCTGGGGATCTCGAGGAAAGCGGGAGCGAGTCCACAGACTCGCTGAGAACACAGGGAGTTACTTTCCAGAGCTGTGCCGCAGAACCACTGCGGGAGATCAGTCTCAATGATCCCGACCCTTTTTTTTTGTATCAAGCGAATCCTAACCTGCAGCACGAGCCTTATCCGAAGCGATTCACGGTGCTGACTTGGAACGCGTGTGCGATCTCCTTTCCTCTGCACATTCATCCCGCGAAGTTTGTCGTGGGCCTGATACTTGGATGCTGGTGGCACGATGGTCATTGTGATGTGCCGATGCGTCTGGATCAGGACTTGGGCATGTTGCGTATCGCTCATGTGGTGTCATGTTGTTCATGTGACTCCTGTTTCCCATTCGATGTTATGGTGTGCTACACAACTGATAGGTGAAGTCTGAGTCCATATATGTCTTGCTTGTATTTAATGCGGCACCTGCGATAAACATGGCAACAAGGCTTGCAGATGGCTAGGATGATCTACAGCTTGAAGACCTGGTATCATCATTATCATTTGTTCAGGCAATGTATACACATCCATACACAGTAGCTCCGAGAAGTATTTGCGAACTTCTTGAACGCCCGCGTCCACGTACACAAGTTAGTGCCATATGTCATGCAACAACTGGCAACAGCTTCAGCCCCAATTCGAGCCCAATGTCACGATTCACGATGCGGAATCTGACGTGTGTTCTCTGTGTCAAACCTGCTTCTACTGTGATGAGACCGATGCATGTCATCAGCTTCCATCGCTGCCGGATGAACTGCATTCATTGCATATGCAAGTAGTGCGAGTTCGGTTGACATTATCTAGTATCGGGCTGATGCTCATTTGGATCCCGTTGCATCTTGTCGAGGATCAAGATCACTAATCTCAGCAGTAATGTTACGGTTAGGACCATGGCCGTGATTTCACTCAGTATTGCTTCGTGTTAGTTTGGCAAGTAGTTTCTTTTGAAACGCCCACCGCTGCTCAGATTGCTCAGTCAGCCGTGTCCTTTGTGTTCGCAGTTCTCTTAGTCTTAGGCATCCAAACCCTGGACCTTGAGAGTTCACGTGTTGTGTTGAGAGTCAGAGGCCTTGGGCTTTGGGCGTTGGGTTTCAAGTATATGATTCGAAACACGTTCACGTGGCATATAGGCGATCACAGTGCCTAATAAATTCGGCTGTTTGCTACAGCTCATGGCCTGCAAAGACTTTATCCACGACTGAGAAGCTGCAACATGTAGTTCATGCTGAACATGTCATGAACACACTACGTTGATGCACTGCTGCTGCAGTGCAAACTAGGACCACCCACAATGATGAGAGTACAGCCCTCTTCGGAAGCTTTTGAGGTCCAGGAGTTGATTAGGTAATCGTAACTCGAGCTGTCTGTGAGGACAGCGCCCAGGCCCGGTTCGCACGGCAAGCTGCTTACATCCAAGACTCGGGAGCTGACTTGGTGTTGCTTCAGGAAGTGCTAAGCACCTTGATGGTTCAGAGCCTCATGCGCCACCTTTCCGACTTCGATCACACTTACCTCACCAGTAGCCCCAAGCCTGCAGCCTGGGTACTCTGGACGGGATTCGTGGTGCTCGTTTCCCTTGTACAGAGCATCCTGATTAAGGTGCCGTTCTATGCGTTGACAGCGACTGAGGGTGTCTGGCTTTCTTTCTTTGTACGCTGGATGATCCTTGCCACAATCCTTGCTCTCCGATGGCGGAACTCCGTTCCTGCCCATTTTTTGCTGGGTGATGTGGCAGGACAGCTGGTAGTATTGCGTCGCAAGGAAAGCAAAGCCTTGGCTGGAGCCGAGTTTGGTGCGGAAGGCTTCGAGATCTACGATGCAGGCTTTCGAGCAGAACGTCACCACAATCCTCCGAACAAACCAGAGTCTGCAATCGAGGCGTCGTCGTGGCTCAACGTATTCTTCAACGTTCGGCCGCGAGGGGTTCTTCGTGTAAGAGTTCCTTTGAAGCGAGCAGCACGACCTGCAGTTTTGACACTGTTGAACACGCACATGCCCCACAACTGCGACAATTCCGACCTCCTGCAGAGTCTTGGAAGGTTCGCAGGAGATTTGGCCAAGCAAGGCACGGATGTCTGCTTCCAGTAAAAGCTACGACTAACAGTTGCATCATCTTTGACAGGGCACAAGCCAAGCGGCCAAACGGTTTGCTGTGTTTTGCAAGGACATAGACGCATAGACGCAGTTCAGATTCTGTGTTTCCTTTGTTCTGCCACTCCAAAAAAATTACATACAGCGCCTGTCTCCATATGCAGAGCCTCTCGTATTTGCCATGTAGCATCACGTGAATGGTTTCCAGCATTGCGTCGGCAACGAACCTGTGTTTGAACCATACCCTGCAGAGGCCCTGTCATTCTTGCGGGCGACTTCAACCCTTTGCCCGACATTCCGCTCCAGAACCAACTCGATCCCTTGCTCCAAAACGGCTTACAGGTCGCAGGTGGACTGGACGATGAATTCTGCACGTGGGATTTGAACCAGGCACTGACTCGAGAAAACGCCGGCACTCCGCGCACAATGCAGCTGGACTTCATCTTCCATTTGTGCCCAGCCGCTCGCGTGGCTCGCGTGGGTGCTTCAGATGTCTGCACAGGTCTGGGAGGTTCGGACGGGGGCCACGGAAGTATCGAAAACTGCGGTTCTTACGACTTTCTGGATCTCACGGCCTTGCGCACGACAATCGCCGACCAGGAGAAATTTTTTTGTGAGGGCGACCCACTATCCGATCACTATGGACTCATTAGCGAGTTTCTGATCGATTGAGGTTCTTCCAAATTACTAAACTCTAGCATGACCTTGCTTGCAGCCAGAAATATGCTAGTATGGCTCCACATAGCAGGTCTGGAGTTGCATGTTCCGGGCGGAGCCTTGCCTGTCCGGCTGATTTTCCAGGGAAGAACGCGCAGCACAAGAGGCGACACATGCAAACGCATGTATCGCCAATCTGCCGCTCTAGCCTCATGCCATCTCATGCCCCTTTCCTCTCAGGTCCAGCGTATGTCTTCATACTTCTACATTCCTCCTTTATCAGACCAGTTTCCCGTAAGGCTCCCGGCTCTCGGGAGCAGAGGCGGCCCTGTAGATCCCTTAGCAATTCAGGCACTCGGACGCACTCGTCACTCGGCTCACTCTTCACTCGGCTTCTGTTGGTGGCCTGATTCACACTTGGTTGAAGCCTCCTGCACAGCCTTGTACTTGCATGCTGCCCCAAGTGTAGCGGCCAGCAAGAGCCTGAGCGAGGAAATGTGGAACTTGCGATCCCATCGAGATTGGAGTCGATTCGAGCTGTTGCGATCTCGCTTGCGCTAGCTTCACAAGTCTGGTTCCGGCTCCAGCAATGCTTAGCCTCAACAGCTGCCACGGCCGCTGACAGCCGGAATCACTAGATTCACTAGATATTCAGATGCTAGTGATCATTGCTCCTCGGCGCATCTTGTGTCATGCATGCAGTGGCAAGAGGCGAGCACCAAACCTGCGAAATGCAAGCTTGCATCGAACGTCCTGTGTGCAGCAGCAGCAGCAGCAGCACCACCACCACCACCACCACCACCACCACCACCACCACCACCACCACCACCAACCCCGTGTTGACACCTCCTCTGACGGCACCTTCGGCACCCACAACATGCCACGAAGCCGTCACAGAACCGTGCTGGACACGCTTGTACTGAGTGGCCCGAAGTTGCCTGGCACGCGTGGCCATGGACTTGGAGGCGATTTGGGCTCTGAAATTCTCGGATGTTTCAACTGGTCATCTGTGGGAAAGTCGTAAGTATGGGGAAATTTCAGAATTGCAGTGCTGACCAAACGCGAGGTCTCCGACTATGAGGGCTCTCCCTGCACTTCTCGTCCAGCTCACCCTGGCAATGAAGGCCAAAGCCTTGTGAAGATGTGTGAAGTCTGCAACCCCCCCCCCAAGCCTCGCAACCAGGAGTATAGCCCTATGAGCCTTAAACCTCGGCCCTGAATTTGAGGTGACTTTGCCTCCCATCCGCGCCGAGCCGCCATTAATCCTTCTCATGCGGGGCACTCGAACTCCTCGGTTCTTACCTTCAGTGAATCTGATTAGAGAGGCACGAAGCGCGGATGCCCCGCGTCTAATTAAAAGCTGCAGTGCTTTCGCACCGCGTAACACGCATAACATGTGCCGCGACAGTGCCGTGAGCATGAGCATCAAGGGGGTGTAGATCGTGCTCTGCCACAGTGCTGCGAACATTTCGGCTTTTTGATCGGCTATGCTGGGCCACACTTTTGGGCCTCTGGGGCTCTTCTGTATGGTGTCCGACATGCTGTGGCATCTTGAGAGTTTCGTTCCCGTTTCGTGGGTTTCGCGTGTTGTTCGTGGACGGCCCGCTGTGTTCACGATTATAGAAGCCGTGCTCCCGCCAATGTCCTGTGCGTTTACTTACTCCTCGCCAAGTTTTGCATAACAAAATTTGTGAATGAATATCGTGCTCCTGCCAGAAGCAATGTCTCCCGTATTTTGGATTCTCAATCGACTCGAGGTCTGGAGTCACGTTTCGGCGGTGTTGGTGTTTTCTAAATCGTCCTGAAAGGTCATCATGGGGCCGTCTTGGGACTCCGAGATGTATTTTAGGAATGGTTTGTGGTTATGTCGGGCTTGCACTACTTTCTTACCTTTTAGTGGTTCAGGTGTACGCCGGCACTTTCTGGTACTCTTAGTGTGCTCGTCAGTGTTGTCGCTGTCACCAGTAGACTTGTTACTATTCCTGCACTGGCTAAGGCTGCTGGTGCTACTATTGCTCGTACGACGACTAGTAGTTAATTACCAACAGTACTGTTAATGACGATGAAAATGCACGACCACGACGACGGAGCAGCGACGACGACTGCTACTGCTGCGGCTATTCCGAATCCTGCTCCTCCTTCCCATGCTCCTGCTCTTACCACTACTCCTACTACTACTACTACTACTACTACTACCACTGCTACTACTGCTACAACAACAACAACTACTACTACTACTACTACTACTATTACTCCTACTGCTACTGCTACTGCTACTGCTACTGCTACTGCTACTCCTACTACTACTACTACTGCTACTACGACGACTGCCACTACTACTACTACTACTACTACTACTACTACTACTACTACTACTG